GGTCTTCAGTGGATTTCCAGGTTATCTGTCAAAGGATTCAAAGGAACAGGTAAGATAAGGAGGGAAAAGCTTTGTCTGAGGATCACATCAGTTGTGCCATGGACTGAAGAATGTCCCAGGGAACATGAGGAAACTGCTTGCAAAAGTAGAAGCTTTTTAAAATTACATCCACTAGAACATCTGACTGGCAATTGACCTAACCCATGGCAGAGCCCATAACTGGACATAACAAAGCAAAGCATGGGAAAAAACTTTTTTGCACTGCAATTCCCAGGATCAACCATCTTTACTAATATGGTCATGCTTTTCAGCATATTCTGGATACTGCAGTCCCCAAGGAAACATTTTTAAGCCTTGAGCATCATTCTATCACTGCTTGGTTACAGATGGCTTTAGTAGATCATCATTACATTCATTCAACTTAAAAGTAATGCTCAGTGATCTGCACTGTGGAATTTCTTTAACAGAGTAACTATCTGCACTATCTTTCATCATGAATGCATTATGCTACTTGAGGGCACTGAAAATCTCTCCACACAGAGAGAGTTAGTTTCAAGATGACTTACTATCCAGTTCATATAATTCATTCCTTACAATATGGAAGCCCTTTAAGAGAGAAGGGTGTTTGGCAGCTTAGTGTGGCTAGATTAGTTTAATATCATCTACTCCTTGGGTTATATTCTTGCAAATCTTTTTTCTCTCACAGGACATGTGTATCTAACTTTACAGTAAAGCTGAGCTGTGAGAGTACTGACTGTGAGAAAAGCCAGGGCAAAATGGATATGTGTATTGAAGCAACCCTTCACATCTTCTAGATCAAATATATTTTATATTTATGTAGCTCTTCAGAGTTGATGATCCACAGATTGCCACATTTCCCTCATTGCAGCTCAGGTCTGGAAGTCAGGGAGTGTTGTTCTATTATCCAGGCAACCAGACTAACAACCAGAACCAAAACAATGGAATGCCTAATGCAGTAGATGGTCTTCACATGTTGCCCCAAAACCAAAACATCGGCAAAATATGGGAACAGTTTTGCTGCCTACAAATAAGGAGACTAGAGCTTTGACTCAGCTCTCTGTATAAGCTACCCTTGATTGTTTCTCAAGCTTTAGTAGGCTTCACTGAAGCCTACTAAAGCTTGAGAAACAATCAAGGGTAGCTTATACAGAGCTTGGTTCAGCCAGGATTTTCAGAACTCTGTCCTGGGGGAGACTCCATCTTCTAGACATCTGAAGATTTAAAGAAGGAGCAAAACTTCTTCCAGTTTCTGCAAGTGCTATAGCAGCTAAAAGCTCATGCCTAGAATACAACGAAGACTACTACCTGAAGTTATGTTAATGTATTCTTGATAATGGTTAAGATGATTCCAAATCCAATAAATTGTGATCCCTACTACAAATTCTACTCCAAAAGAAAAGACACTGGAATAATAAAATACATTCTTTTCAATAAATTTCCCAATTCACACAGATCCTCCCAAACTGGTCTTCTGGTTATCAAGTTTTTATCATAGGGATTTTTTAAAAATATATTTTTGAGCAACTGGAATGAGAGAGGATGAAAGGGAAGAGTGGGGGAAACATGAGTAACTTTATGTGTGGAGAGAAACCTCAGTTGAGCATGAACTAAGCATGAGGTAACCTGGGTCATTCTTTATGATCCAGGTGGCAGAAAACAGAAGTTGTTCAGTGGTGAGAGACAGGACCTTCAGACATGCTCAGGAGTCTTTATGTTCTATGACTTAATCTAGTACTGAAAACAGACTTCTGGGCTAAACTCTGATAACTCTTAGCATGAATACATTGAGGAGTTGGAAAGTCTGATTACAAGAAAAAGGGGAGAACTGCTTTTGTAAATTATTGTTGCAAGAAAACTGAGAGAGGAAAAGAGTAGATTATTGTAGAAATTTTAAGACAGTGCTCTCTGACTTGAGTATGTTGTTAACAGATATGTCTCAGTTCTCAATTTCTAAAGGGAAATGGGGACAAACATGCATAGCAAATTCCATGAAGGAGGAAGAAACTTGAAAGTCTGCCAACTTGATAAAGATCAAAGGAACTGGAGAAACACAACAAAATGTAACATCCCTTGTTATTAGTGGTGTTCCTATCCCTAGCCATTCACTAATAGAAATGCCCTTACATTCATCCATAAAAACTTCATCTCCATGAAAACATTCTGGTAAATGTCAGAGCATATACATATTAGTGACGTTTAGAGTACAAAACATAAATGCATGCTAATTTTCAACAGCAGGGGCCACCGAATTACAGCAATTTTCATTTTACTGAATTAAAAATGAAAGATGGACTATCTGTATAATCTTTCCTTAAAGTAACAGTATTCCCATTTGTAGCTAACCTTCATTGTGAGTCTTTGAATTGCTTGGTAGGAAGAATTCATAAGGTTTTTGTCATTCAGGAAGAGAGTGGCATAAATGGAAAGTTGGAACATCATGTTCGACTTGATCTATGTTAGAAGTAAATCTGTGCTACAAATAAAACATATCTGTGCATGCAACAAGTAATATCTGTAGAAGGGGGAGATAAACAGTCAGATAACCACAGAGACTTGCACTTCTTTGCTTGGCTTTTTTTCCCCAAAACAAATCCACTCTTAATGAAAATTGTGTTTATTTCTCCTTCTTCTCACTAGGGGAGAGAAGAATGATATCTCTTCTTTCCCTCTAGCTAAGAAACTGCAGCTGGGCACTGCTTAGATAGCCTCTCTCTTCCTGAGCACTAATTGAACAAGGAAGCTCAGTCTGGTGCAGAAAAGGTCTGTTGTGTTGGTTGTGTCATTGCACAAGGAGTTCTTCCACAATGGCTAAAAAATACACACTGCACAGAATACAATATTTTATGTGCAAACATGTTATCTTCAGTAAAAAACAAAAAACAAAAAAAACCCTACTTCTGGGGGTTTTTTTTGGGGGGGGGGCTGACACCATAGGTTTTTTTCATCCATACTGAAAGATTGCCACCCATCCAGGGTTCTCCTTTTCATACTTTCCTAACTCTTGAGAAACCTGTTTTCTGACCATTGTTCAAACATTCTTTCCATCCCTATAATAAAATCCAGTTTTTGCCTCTCCTGTATCATCCCTGAATTGATTTCCTGCAGCAACAAACATTTAAATATGAACCAAAATATTTTCTCCTTTTTTACAGCCACATATTAAGCACTAGACCCCTGTAATCTGCTAGTATCAGTGACAAATATTCTTATCATCTGACAATGGGGATATTCTTGCTTTCTACACAACATGTGTTCTGAGGTGCACCAGTGACATCTCTGTCTTGTATGGGCAAATTGATGACCTACCATGAAATAATGAGACCAGGCACAAGATGCTGGGTTAAACAAGGGTGACTTTATTGACACAATTGATGACAATTTAAATTCTGGAAGACCACAAGGGGGAGGGAATCTGATGCGGGCTCAACTGGGGCCAGGTGTCATCCCATGACCTCCCTAGCCCTCCTTTGGGTGAAACACTTGACTCTGGGAGGGAAGTCCATTTGGTTGGGTTGCTACCCGACCAGCCATCTGCTGGAAGGGAGATCCAAGTGCTCCCACCAAAAGGTTGTGTGGTTGATGGGAAGCCTGTGAGGATGGCCATAGAATTCACCAGGAGGGCTACATGGCAAGGCCTGGGAGTGCTGAACAGGCTGTGAGGGCCAAGCAGGCTTCAGGCCCAAATGGGTGGCCATATTGGCCAGCTGGTGGCCAGCGTGGGAGGCTTCAGAGTTCATTGATAGTGGGGGAGTAGCCAGTGGATGCCTGGAACTGGAGCTGTTGTTCGGATGGAGGAGCGAGTAGTGGCTGTGCCAACTTTTTGGTGGTGGTGGTGGGGTTTGAAGGCTGTGGAGGCCTAGGTGGCCTGTTGGCATTCAACCATGCCAGCCATCTGAACACCCATGTTGGCAGCCATGGTGCTCAATAATGAAGAGAGTCTGGTGAAAGGATGCAAAGGAACCAGGAGAAATCCTTCTACCCAAGAAGAAGCAATGAAAGATAAGAGCCTGTTTCAGGACTTAATTGGAATTATCTATCTTCCTTCACATGTGCTGACACACTGCCAAAACTGCAGGTGAAGGCTTGGGGGGCTGGCCTTATATTGCTGTGACTCTGCACCCCGTGGTATAACAGTGTGGTGTGACATCCACAGGAAGTCCTGGTCTCCTCCCACTTGGGAACCTCAAAGCCAGGTCCCTCCCTGCAGTGCCACACATGGCAGCATCCCTAACTCCCATATGCTTTAAAAAGTGAAGGATGCGTACCTCATTCACATTGAAAACCCTCCCCACACAAAGCTCAACTATGTACATACCTCACTAAGAGTGTAATCCTATGAAGTTTTATTCAGAAATATGTCCATTTACATTGAATGGTAATTATGCATAGGTTCATGGGCATACAGTTTGAACCTCAACCTCAGTTATCTCAAGACAAAAATAGAATGAATATTCATGGTTGTTTCCAGATTGGAAAATCGGTAGAATATAAGAACAATGAGAATTTTGTGCAATTTTCCTGGCCATTTAAATACCCTGACATGTTTTGGAAGAATTATTCTTAGAGAAGTACACAAATGCCTTATTTCTGCAAAAACAGGCAATCAAAAAGTCTTCTGATTTCTTATGCAGAAAACATTGTTGCCTGTACAGGAAAAACATTGATTTATACACCAACAAAAATTTTGTATTTTTTTCACAGAATAATTTCTCTACAATATTTCAGGACATTCAAATATAGGGATAATACTGTGCAGAATTTTTTTTATTTCTTCTGCAATGAGAAAAAAGCTGCAATAAATTTTCACCTTTGTTTGCAAAGATGAAATAAACAGACATATACATTATGTCTACGTTAATATGACTCTCTTGTAAATGGATTTACCACTGAAAACTGAGGACAACTTCAGCATCAAACCAATGCATTCCTTTTAGTCTTAGAATGAAAAATAATTTATAGCAATGATGGGAGGAATGGGAGGCAGTGTGGGATAGTGGTTTGAGTGTTGGACTAGGACTCTGGAGACCAGGGTTCAAATACCCACTCAGCCATGTAAATCCATTGGGTGACCTTGGGCAAGTCACTCTCTCCAAGCCACAGAGGAAGGCAAAGGCACACCCCCTCTGAACAAATCTTGCCAAGAAAACCTCTGTGATAGGTTCTCCTTAGGGTCACCCAAAGTCAGAAATGACTTGAAGGCACACAACAACAATTATGATGAAAGGAACAACTGGGAAACAGATATTTTTAGGCAAGGAATCACACAATGACAAGAAGAATCAAAACTGATAAGGGGCATTTGTAATATTATTAACAAGGGGGTAGTCCAATCTGCTGAACCATCCAGCAACTTTGAGTTAAATGTTAAAATATAATAATATTAACATTGAAGTTTTCTGCTAAATTGACCTATTTTGGTCATTTTCTACTAATAAAGAAAATGGAATGACACAGCGCGCTCTTTATATTGCAATCTAAACATGTAATTTTGCATTTTGGTTGGCCCAATAAAGGTATCATTGTTTGGATATTATTGGATTTGCTATATGGCCAACATGGCTACCCCTAGATGTTATGATTATCTGGTTATTGAACATGACTGGATTGCTTGTGTGTGCACTTTCGAGGGGTGGATGTTGTGCAGAGGGATATAGTTAGGAGAAACTTCTATCCTCTTTAGAATTTCTTTTCAGCCTTCCCTAATATGCTATTTGTACAAGTGTAAAGAAGTGCCATAAATTTCAAATCTTGTTATTGAAAGCAATGGGCAGACTATGAACTCACTTCTACTGTCTCATTCTTCTTTCCCTTCTGTTGAGCATTAAGTGCACAGACAAAGTAATTCAGAAGCTATCTTCACTTTGCAGGGAAGAACACCCAGCGACCTTAGAGCTGGAATGCATCCTCCCAGTTTCTGATGAAACAGACTGGAGCCAGGTTAACTCCAAAGAGGCACATTTATTCTTCAGTTGCAATATGTACAGAGAAAACTATTTACATTCATCACTGACCAATGACAACCTCCACACAACAACAATGTGGTCTCTGTTATTTATAGACACTTGCCATGCGGCCACTAAGTCCAGCCTCTTCCTGTGACTTTCTTCCTGTGTCACTTGAAATGTTGTCCTCCCCCCCAAACATGATGACACAATGTGTTTACACTTGGTCTATGTCCTCTCAGGCACATACTGACCTTGGACACTGCTATGTTGTTTTGTACCTGCAGACCCAGCTAGCAATCGGTAAAGTATAAAATGACCTGTAATACCCTTTGCCACTTTCCCACATCTTGATATTTAAACTCAGGTTACAAATCCCAACACCTTCAACATCACATGATTCCAGCTAACTCTGCAGTGAATCTTGACTAAACATTAATATGACATAAGATTAGGCAGGGAGCATAAATACTGAGTGTTAAAGTATACTTGACTACATCACTCTCTCTTCATGTTTATGATGGTGACAAGGCAAATTCAAGACTCAGAGGAATGTACTGCAAACAACTCACACTTTGTGTTTGTGTTCTGAGGATCCTAATACGGACCCAGCCTCAGGAATCCAGATACAAAATATATACCCGGAATATGAATTCTACTGTTGCCTTTAAACCCCATGGACAAGGCACCCCACACAAGTGGGGTTGGTAGATTCTGTATTTCAAAGTAGGAGTGCAAATCCCCATTAGCCCCCTTTGTGAACTGAGCTGGGGTAATGTCATACACACATCTTTTGGTGGAGAAACCTTGTTTTGTCCATTAGCTGCTATTACCCCCAGCCTAAAGTACTCCCTTATTCAAATAGGTTATAGTACTCTTTTCCAGAGAAAAGGGATATGGTGCAAGTATGCACTGAAGGACAGGTATCTCATATCATGTGAAATGCTCAACAATGAGGTATCTTTATTAAAAACAATTTTAGTGCATTTGCTTTGGATGAACACTGTGCCTATCACAATTCAGTAATGAAAGATGGCAAGGATTATTCTGTCTCTCAAAATCTTCCAAGCAGAGCAAGCAGCAAAACCTACTGATATTCATTCAAATGAAATTGTGGTTTCACTTTGATGGTATTTGCTGCCCTTTATGTTTGCCTTTTAATAATACTGGAGCAGCAGATTTTATTTTTCAGTGAGAACATTAGGGGGTAGAAAAGCACCACAGACTTAAGTGGGAGAAAAATCAGGTTGAAATTCAGGTCAGTATTGCCTATGATCAAATCCTTATTTATTTATTTTTAAAGCAGATAATTGTAAAGGACTGAAGCATTAGACTCTCCCAGGCACTGGAAATTAGGAGACAACCCACAATTGTGTTTCTTGAACGATAGTAGCAGACTTAGGACCGATGCAGACTGGCCATTTGGGGTGGCAGAGAGCTACACCGGGGAGCGGCAGATCGGTGCTGTGGCAACCGCATGCCACAGCCCCGATCCTCCCTTTTGCTACCCCTAAAAGAGTGATAAAATGCCCAAGAGCCAGTGCCCCATGGTTCTTCTGTGCCCTTTCAGTGCAGCGTGTTTAAACGCTGCACCAGGAGGGCATCCTGACACTGTGTGCCGTGCATATGGCTGCGCGACGTCAGGACAACATTGGGGTGGGTTTGAGGCAGCTGGTGTGCAGCTGCTCTGCCCCAACTCTACTCCCAGACCGGCCCTTTGGGCTGTTCTGCAATGGCCTTTAGTTAAAGCAAGGATAAGCAACTTTGGTGAGTCTGAGGGGCAATTCCTCTCAGTATTGGGTGCATCCAGTCTGACTAAAGAGTCCATGATTTTGTTCCTGTTCTTTCCAGTTTTATGCTGGGTTAAAATAAACTGACCTAAGGAGCTCATATAAAGTGTTGCTGATTGTAACAGGTGCTGACAGAAAATATTGGGGGATAAACAAAATGTATATGAGTCCCAAAAATAAAATTTTAAAAAATGGAACAAAATCTGGGATTTCCTGGTCTTTTTAAGCAGTGTAGATGTGCCCAGGGCTTGCCAAAATCAGTGTCAAACTGTACCATGAATTTGGTGGAAGATCAGGAAAAATGCTCTAAATGTTGCAGGAAAAATTCACTTTAAAGGGTGCTTGCTATTTGGATAGTCTCTGTGTTGACCACGCTGACTTAAAACAAATAGTTAAATATCATATTTATCTTGAGCTGGATAGATTAATAGTATGGCCTGGTATGAAGCAGTTCCCTATATTCCAGTTTTTGATCTCACTAATCTTTACAGAAGTATGTGGCACTATTATTGTCTAAAATAGGGAACATGCTTTTTGAGGTAGCATGAGCAGATCATCTGAATTATCCCACCACATGCACACATACTTTCATGCTTTTGCAAACTGTCACAGCAGGCAGGTAAAATGGACATATATAACAGATGGGAAGTATCATAAGCAAGCTGGTTATCATTGTATTATACCAGGGGTAGGCAACCTTTTTGAGCCGGGGGCCGGGT